AACAACAACAACAACAACAACAACAACAACAACAACAACAACAATAATAATTTGTTGCTGCTTGTAGCTGTAGGGCAATCAAAACATATCCACAAGGGCTGAGGCTATCAGTTGTTGAAGAGTGGTTACCTTTATTTTGAGCAAAATAGACTATGAGCACCTAGGGTTTTCATTAGGTCACCTGAAAAACTGGAGAATTATTTCAGTGGAAGGGGCATCAGCAGCTCATCTCCTGTTCATTTCTCTCCTGTATTTTATGCAGTGGAGATAGTATTTTCCGTAAAGCATCTCTGAAACATGAGTCACAAAAATATTTGTGAGAGTTGTGATCGTGATTACGTAGCCACTCTGGATAATTCCTTCTATTATTTAATTTTAGCTGTAGTAGAAGTGGCAAATCAGCATGTATTTCTAAAAAAATCTCTAAAATCTCTAAATCTCTAAAAAATATTTTTCTGGAAACGTTGTTTTAGGGGAAAGGTAGGAAGCTCCCAAGAAGGATTAGCAAGCCTCTAACATATACAAAATATGATGGATTAGGTCATGAGGATAAAAATATGTTGTGGTTATATAGTCTATGAGGTAATAATCATAATTCTGTTTTAATGAGAATGCTACTCAATTAAGAAGTTGCTTGTGGGGTACAATCTGCCCCGCTGTCAGGTGGCTAAATCTGGTGACAGTCTGCATTGGTTTTGGGGAGTATTTTTCAATCTGCTATTAAACTTTATTAGTTCCAATGGAAATTTCAAATCCATCTAATCCTCCCCTATTAATCTCCTGACTTATAAGAAGGAATAAAACATTAATAAACCAAAAATAAATTCAAGTTACCTTATTTGCTGTCTTAGCCTATCTTGTAGGAAGAGTACTGTCCTTGTTTTTATAACATTGGCAATGCTTAGATACTGCAGGGCTGGGCATACTTAGTGGTCACACAGAGATAATTTAATCTGTTGCTGAAGAACTGAATATATTTACTTGCTTCAATTCTGTTTGTCTATCTGCATATAAACCTATTTTCATGTCTTCTGATATTTGTCCTCTGTAAAGATGCTAATTAGAAAATTAGTCTAGAAATAGTGTTCATTTTTCTGATCCTCTGAGTAAGAATAGAATGACCTTGCTTTCTTTCTGATAACCTTTTAGGAAGGCACCTGTTTTCCTACTGATTTTTTCTTCTATCTACATCATACCTACTGGAGTTTGCATCTTTTTTCCTTTTATTAATTCTTCTTCTATGGATTCCATTTTTTAGTTTCCAACATTTTTGTCATCCTTCTGTGACTAATTCTTCTAATTAGACCCAAATTTTGCTCACTTAAGCAAGATTGCACAAAAAGAAAAAGGACTTGTGGCATCAAACCAAAGGTGCTAAGTAATCCTCCAGTCTCCTACTGTAACTGCCATCCTCTATTATTAGGACCATCTTAGGAAAACTCTGCTGAGAGCCTTTGAATTTCTATTTTGTCCACTTGCAAATATGATCTCTTCTCTCACTAAGTTCATACTATGTGGCTAGGAAACCAGCGAGGGACATAGTATATAGCCTTCTGCAAGTAAAATAACTGCAAATTTTTGTCTGTTTTTGTCCTTTATTAATTGCACAAAGGATCCTGTGTATAAATTAGCATTTCAGAAGAGCATCTCAAAAAGAAATCTGCTTGCTTTATAAAGAGATTTGGAGGAATGTCAGAGAAAAGATTAGAGAAGTTCCTCTGTGGGAGGTAGTTTGCATACTAATGCATCTTTCTCTTTGTAGTTTGTTTGTTTTACTATTTGTTTTATCATTTGCCATCTTCAGGAGGAAGACCTACACACAAGTTTTTAAGAGACTAGGCTAAGTGGCAGCAAGGGCTATAATTCTCAAATTTTCTGTGCTACAGCCCCATTTTCTAATGACAACAGAGCAATTGCAGCTTCTCCATAGTTCATGTACCTGCCCTGTGCCCCATAAGACAGTGGTGCCTCTGTCAGCACGTGCAGTTTCATAGTTGGGTATGCAAATCCATGACATAATTCTGTTTGGTCTCCATCAGTAATCTGGTGTGTGATTTTGAACAAGTTATCACACCATTCTGTAGCTGCTTGTGGTCTTGTCTGTTGTCTGTTTTGTCTATTCAGGTAAGAACAGACATACTCATGATAAGGTAAATGTCATCAGACTTGATCCAGAGGGGAGCAATCATTATGGACACGGATCACAGCACCGTGTTATGTTACTTAGACTAACTGTTTTTCTCACTCCCATTAAAATCTCTCTTACTTCAATGAATTGGCCTGGCTCACAGGAAAGAGTAGAGAAATTTCCTCAATATGTCAAATTATTTGTCATTTTGTCTAGAATTGGAGCCCTATACTTGCTTGACCAGACACTTCAGGATGATGAGAGCACCCACTGAAGCACATTGCTAGCTGAGCATTATCATTGTCTCCTGATGCGAAGTTCACTCTTCACATCAGGAGGTTTACTCATGCTTATCTTTGAAAGCTCTAATACAAAGGGAGGTTCAGCCTTTTTCAAATGCGGAAGCTTGTCTGACCTTTCAGAGACTGTTTATATACATTCAATTCATGAAGTGATTAATTTAGTACACCAACAGTCTGCTGAGTATAATGCTTCTAGGTTTCTCTTTGGACTGCAGATGTGAAGATGTGGAGATGAGGTATTAATATTAAGAACCTCGACAAAGCTGCCTCCCCTTTTTGACAATCTTGTAGAGAATGTTTGGTTTGGGTTTGTGGCCTTTAGAGGGAAAAAAGAATTAAGTTTGCTTCCACTGTATCTAAAGATGGGAATTGCATGATTATTATTTTTAGACACTGATTCTCCATTACTGTTTCAAACCTTGGAGTCTTACTGGCGTGGGCACACCAGGAGCTGTGGACAGGAGGCTGCAGTGTTTCTTAGCCTCTGAGCTCTTTTTTGCAGAGGTCTGGATGAGAACACAAGATACATTATAGTAGATAAATTCCTGTCTAATGTTTTCTTTGCTTTACCTCTGTAGAGAGACGCAGAAATGGAATTCATGAAAACCAAACTTTTTGTTAGTTGCAAGGACCCATAGGAATCTATGTCAATCTTTGTAAAGAAGTGCCATCTACAGCCTATCTTAGGCAAACTGTTTCCTGATAATTAAGGTTGGTAAATAAGTCTTTTATTTTCCTCTGAAATACACAGCAGGGAAGGTTGCAGCTAATGGGAATTTTGGATGCTCAGCAGCTTCCAGGGTTAATTTTTTCTCTGTTGGATTTAAAGCTAACATTTCACAGTCCTGTAGGACAAACTGAAGAATGTGTTTTGGGAGAGATGCCTAAACTATCAGAGGACAGGACTGCTTTATAAGAGTTATTATTTTATTAAGAGGTGCTCAAGCAATAATGAGATTTTTATTTTATCCTTGTAGGTAATCACACTTTATTATAGCTTCTTAGACTTTGATGTTTTTTAGTAGCCACAATTACCAAAGGGTAGTTTACCTAAGAAAAATTTTTTCCCAACAAACAGAGCATCAGACCTCAATTTCAGCTCCCGAGGAAATAACCACTGCAAGATCAGTCAAACCCGCTGTGCTTTCTGTGTACTGTACTGCTTGCTCTGCTCAGTGTAACTTCAGGGTAACATTTTACTCCTAAAAGGCAGCCTAGTCAGCTGTAAATGAATAATGATTCCCTAGTATCAAGCAGAGAATAGGACTTTCAGATATCCTCAGAGCCCAGAAATGTGCCTGGCACCTGTGTCTGTTGTTCTAAATATCCTGGATTTTTCTGACCTCTTCTAGCTCAAACAGAGGATCACAGGCATCATTTGGGGAAGGTTCCTTATTAAGAACTGTGAAGATCTGTCTATAATCAGTGTGTTCCACATCTTTGTGACCAGTTATTTTGCTTAGCTTGATTCTGAAGTCAGAGGAACAAATAAAGGGAGAGCAGACCCAACCTCTGATGAACTTTGAACTTATTTGAATGTGAAGCTGATTAGCTACAATAGAGAAAACCAACACCACGGTCTAAACACCCTGAAATTCAGCACCGTAAGCTCCTGGATCTGAGTTTTGTGGTTCACATGCATCTTTACCTGTATCCATGTGAGAAACGTAAACATCTTCAAGTTGTCTCCTTCCCAGAAATATAGGGCTGTTTCTGCATTGAGTAATGCTGCTGCGTTGAGAGATGACACAGAAGGTGCCCCAGCTCCTGGACCCCTGGGTTTTCCGCAGGTGTCAGGTCACTCCTCACAGATAATTGCTTACCATCATCATCTAAAAGAACTACATCTTCCATGACTAGATTTACAGGTACAACCACTTAAAAAAAAAAAAAAAGTATTCACACACAGTGAGGTAAATATGCGGGTTTATTGCAGCCAAGCCACTCCTTTCCGTGCTCATTCCTTCTCAGACATCTGCTCGTGGATGTTAAAACCCTAAGCACCTTTGGCAGGGGGATTGAACTCTGAAATCTGCAGCACCTGTAGCAGAGGAGCAATATTTGGGAAGGAATTGCTGTCTGAGGAAAAGCAGCAGCTTCAACTTGTGTCCCATGGGAGACAAGTGAATCTGAAGTTATATATTATATAAGACGTAGGGGATGACAGCAGTTTATGATTAACCTGAACTCTGCAAGAAGCATATAAGGAGAGAAAGAAGAAGAAAGCCAGAGAAGCAGCCAGGATGGAATCCAACATAAGGATCAACAATCCTGCGGACATCTCTGTTATTGTCATCTATTTTTTGGTAGTGCTGGCAGTGGGACTATGGGTAGGTTGGGATTTTATTTTATTTTATTTTATTTTTTTTACTTAATGAGCAGGTAGTTCATAGGGTCCTGGGAAAATGGCTCAGTAAGTGAAAATGTATAAGTGTATAAAGATTTTGGCGCCTAACTGAGGTGGTTAATAAGTGCATGGTGGGGAAAATGTGGGTATTTACTGGAGAGGGGATGGTGACCCGGGGAGGCATCCATTTAGGTGGATGAATGGAACTAGTGGGGAAGGTGGGGTAATGAGGTTTGTGTGGGGAAGGAGCTGAGAGATCTGATCAGTAAAGGTCAGGCCAGCTAGAGTCCCTATTAGAAAGCAGGCCAGAGGTGAATAGATGGGGTTTAGCACCATGGAGCACAGGGACTGCGGTGAGAATTGGTGGTGTGAGGTGATGCCATAGGAAATAGTGAGAAGAGGAGTTGCAGGGAGAATGGAGGTGAAGTCAATGTGCGGGGAGGGCAGTATGGTGGTGTAACAGTAAAACTGCAGCTGTGGCTGTGTGACAGACTGCAGATCACTCTCAGCAAAGGAGTGAGATGGGTCAAGATTGTAGGTGCCATTTGAAGGCAGCATTATCATGGCTTTTTTTTGCCTGCGGGACCTTGACTACAGGGTGCAGTGCCGTTGAAACTATGAGGAAGGAACGGTTTCAGGGGTGGCAACTGATGGCAATGACCTTCTGTTCCTGATCTAAGCACAGCAGTGCCTCCTGCCCTTACCCCGGCAATGCTGAATGTGCTGAGGACTGCAAGGGAAAACTCGGTGCCTAATCCAAAAACAAAGCCCAGTGCTTTCACAGCTAATAGAGAAAGGCAGATACTATCCTGTTGGTGTAACCTCAATGCTGAAGTGTTTGAAGATAATAGGCCAATACTGTGAGCTACAAAGCTTTAAACAGTGGAATGTCACTAAATTTCAGTTTCCTTGGGGCAAGCTCTCCTGGTCACCTGAACACCTGACCATTAACAAGCGGAGAGGAGGCATTGTCCCTCAGTAATCCTGTGCTTGCCAGGAGCATCCCAGGGGTCCATTTCACAGAGCAGTGAAGTCAGCTGCAAAACAAACCTCCGTTTCTAGCAGCCTGGCAATGTTTTGAAGAGCACCAAAAATTTGGGGTATACACAAAATGGGCACAACTTTTTCTTTACCCCTTCGTTGTGGTAGTAGATGCCAAAAACGTAGCAAAAAAACTGAAGCCCCCAGTATACCTGAACACCTGGTTGTCTTGCAGGAGGGAGCTGGGTCTTTGCCATGGGAGTCTGGCTGTTGCTGTAGCTGAACTTTGTATTAAAGGTCTGTGACAAAAAAGGGCTGATCTGTGGCTTGTCCAGCAATTGTGTGCTGAGTAATTCCTGGAACCGTTTCTTTACAGCAACAATGCCCTCTTTATTGGACAAATACTTATTCAGTTGCTGTGTGTAGTTAAATGTAAATCTATTGTATTTACTTAACTTCCTTCTTCATCAGAAGAAAAGATGTGGCTAATTTTCCGAAGTCTTCTTTCTTTATTTGCCTGTTCAATACCCGTCAGAGGAGACAATGGGAATCCAATATTTGGATCAGGGTCATTAACAAAAATTGGACGAAGCTTCCCTCTAAAGCCTGTCATCCCTTGACAAATACAAAATGAGTGTGTGAAAAGGAAATTTTAGTTGACTTCTTTTTCTGAACTTCAGAGAGAAGCAGGTACAATGCTAATATTACAACAAGAAAATAGATTTTTGTAGATATCTGCTGGGGCTGGATAGTATTGAGTAAAAAAGCTGCACACTTTCTGTTAATGAACTTGCAACTTATAGTCTTTTTTGATGCCTGAAATCAAAGGTATTGCACCCCTGATGAAGTGTTCATATGAGCTTTTATGAAAAATGATCATTTTTTTGTTAAATTTAATTTTAGTTTAATGTTTCACACTGTAACGAAAGGTGACTCAATGAAGCTTGAATGGTTAATGTAGACCTAGATACAAGAATCATTGCTCAGTTGTATTATTTTCATCATAAGCTTGTTCTTTTTAGCCACTCCGTTTATTTCTTCCACTTTACCCTCCCCATATATTTTGTCCCTCTGTTCTAGCTGTTTGTTCTTAGTCTGTGTATAGCTTGCCTATTATACTTAAAATATGAGTCAATCTTTCTTTCTTTCTTTTTTTTTTCCCCCAGGCTATGTACTCAACCAACCGAGGGACAGTAGGTGGATTCTTCCTGGCTGGACGAAGCATGGTTTGGTGGCCGGTGAGTGCTATATGTTGTGTGTGTATGTAAAACATATGTATGTGTATGTGCATCCACTTCCATATGACTATGTCTAGTCCTTAAATATTAAGCATCTCTACAATACTGTTGAGACTGTGATGGCTATGTCATGTAGATGCACTTCAAACTTTTTCTCTAGCCATGGTGACACAGAGCAAACTGCATGACAAAAGCCACCTGATAGGCAGGGAAAAGTATTGGGGAAGTTGTCTGTGTTGAGCTCTCAGTTGTCTTGATTATGTGACCAACTTGTTTGAACCTAGTTACATTGGTAATGTCAGTGTAGACAAATCCAGTGCTTTGCCTTTCAGCTCACTTAAAACTTTTTAATATTTTGAATTTATTACTTTCACTGCACTCAAAGAAGCTGGCTCATTTTGAGGTTATCATAGAGAAGAATTAATTTACTGAAATTTTTTCCTCATATTGCTCTATTGTTTCCACTTTTGGTAACAAGTTCTGGTCTGTACAAGGAGAAAATCCTGGAAATATTATGATAAGTTATTGGTAAAATATAGTTTAAATTTATTTAAAGATTATGTGTGACTTATATTGTTTGTCTTCTGTGGATCTGTATTCTCTTTCAAGGTGGAGAAAAGGAGTCACAGACACAAAACATGTTCATAGCCATCCATCAGGCCTCTGGCAGAAAATATATTAGAAACACTTACCTATTTCTTCCAGACCATACAGTCTGTTTAGTGTGACTTCTTGGAAAAGCAGAAAACTCAGACAAACCTGCATTTTCTGTATTACTTGTGTTGTACATGCTTCCATGTGCTTGAATGGAAATCCTCAACATTCCTGATCTTGCATTCAGTCTCCAAAAATGTTTTTGCACTTCATTAAGACTTTTGATTCAGGATTCCACCCACATGGATTCAGTTACAGGATCAGGGAGAGTGAGAGTAAATATTTGTTGTCTAAAAATTTAGAAATTTTCTTAAAGTAGGCTGCAGAAATACCTACACATCTTTCAGTCTTCTTGTGCTTCAGGGAGCTGCTCTCTGCCTTTAGGAAGGATTGGGACTGCCTCTTTAATGACATAAAAATATTAAAGGCCAATGACAGTAAAAGGTTTCCTCATTTAGTATAGTAGATCTAAGAAAATTCATGTTCCTTTGGAAAATTGAGGAAAGTTTCCAAGTTATTTTAAGATAAATCCCATAATTCTAGGGGGAGAGAAAAAACCCAAACAGATTACTTTGCTTAACTGCCACTTTAATCAGTGGGCTGGTTTTAACCTCATGCAATTCTGTATGCCTGTCAAGGGTGAATATGCCCTTTTGTGCAGATGTAAATGAAGGTGGAAGAAGCAAGTGCAGGAAAAACTCACCATAAAAAACTTCTGTCTTGCTCCAGTGGCACTGAGAACTCCTAACGATTCCCCTAAGACCCAGGGAAGATTATCTAACACCGAGTTCTCTGCCAACACAAACCCAACGGATTCAGCAAGCTCCCTTCCTCCAGTGGGAAGACAAAAGGGATGACCCCACAGTGCAGTGGTTGCTGCTAGGATCATCTCTCTCTCCTGCCCAAACTTGGAGCTCAGCACGGATGAAGTGCTAGTCATCAATGGAGTCCTAGACCACGCCTTCGATCCTTCCCTTTGGAATGCCAGGAGTGTCTTTCTGCACCATAAAAATAAACCCTTCTTGCTATTCTTCCTGGTATCACTCAAAATAAACAAACGGCAAGCACTCAAACCACAAACTAAATACCATGTCAGCAGCACCACCTTGGAAAGTTTGCCTTGCATAAAAAGAGATTCAAAACACCTATTCCCACAGTTTAGCAGGTAGATAGGCTGTCCATCACCCAGTGCAAACTGGGCTGAAATGACTAGGAAACCAATGAAAGTATAGAAAGTTCAGTCAAAGATGTGGTCTCAGTTCTGCAACAGCTAAGGTTGTGTGTATTTTTTTACTTTTTCTGTGCTTTGACTTTTCTTTTGCGTCACGTCAGGACTAACCTGGCATGGTTCTGGAAAGCCCAGATACATTGCCACAGACTAGATGAGAGGCAGGGTGGGGGAAGTTGTTTTGTAAGTGGACTTTTGTTTACAGATTTCTTCCCTGCGATTTCAGGATAATGACTCTTGCCATGTAATTGCTTTCTGGAACAGAGAAAAATGGGGGGAAAAAAAAATCCTTCCACAAACTTGTTATAAATTTAATTCCCTTAAACTATTTGTATTTTTCAGTGGTTGTGCTATGTTCTATGCTCTACAGGGCCACCATAAGTGGCTTTTCTGACCCCACAGGGAAA